TCACAAAGCATCAGGGATTTCGTGGAAGATAAATGGGTTTATAGAGGCACCATCTCCAGAAATGTGGACGGACATTTCCAGCTATCACAGGGTGCAAACCACTGCCTGGCTTTTCCAGCAGTGCAGGATGATGTTGCTCACCCAATAGTACCTTCTGATTTTGCTTGAATAAGGATCAGAATTATCTTCTTCTGAGCTCTGGTGCCCAAAACAAGCTACCTCCCTCAATATTATAAAACAGGGGGAAAAGTCAAATAGGTCTTGCTCCAATATAAAGTACAAGCTGTAATTCAGTGTAACTCAGGGTCAGATAAAATTATCCTGTACACATCTTTACATGTGTCCATTCCCAGGGACATTCTGACTGATATTTTGACTGAAGCACCCAGGTCACCATGCYCTGTCCATCTTCAACATAGAACTATTTCCATGTTTTACAACTTCATTTTCTGGATACGAAAAACCACAAATCTGCCCTGTTTAATATGCCCCCAGAGTCTTTGAAGATGTCCAGTGACCTTGTTTGTTTGCTGCTTGGGGTTTTTTTCTCAATGGCATCAGGATTTTGCATCTAAACCATTAAGCAAACCTGGGTTTGATTGGATTCTTCTGACTCCTTCTAAGTTCCTCAACAGCCATTCTCCTGCTCTGGTTAAGCTCTGCTTGTTACACRTGATCTGTGTGACACACTGGATTCCCTTTGTTTCCACCAACTTTTGATTTTCCATCTGAGATGTGGAACAAACGAGGAAACACAATCAGTGGGAAGAATATACAGGAAATAAAAGCCATAAACAGAAAGGACTGCYTGAGTCCCCCTGAGGTCTGGAGTACAGTTGTTGAAACAAAGCACTGGTGACCCCGAAAGATCTGAAGCTAAACAGAATCCTTTCAAGATGGAAATGTGGGACAAAGATGGCAGAGATGAGTTGGTAATGGCCTCATCTTTTCTTTTGTAGCCTCTGTTCCAGATGGAGCTTTAAAATAACAGCAGCATGTTGGRCCCACAAAAGGGCAGGGCTGAGAGTTAGGAAACCTTCATCTCCTGGGAGATTCGTCTTCCTAAACCTGGAGAACTGCCTTTTAAAGATCCAAACAGCCAGAGCTGGAGGCATGTTACCAGAATAATTCAGCTGCCATTTCAGGACTAATAAATACAAACCTTTACAATCTGTTCCTGGGGCATATAAAAAAGAAAAAAAAAGACTTGATGTTGACATCTGAAATGGGCTACACAAGAGAGACTGCTCTTCCTAGCCATAAAAATCAATAAACCTCTGTAAGTCCACATATGCAGCAACCAGAAGCTCCAGCCTCCACCCATTAGCAGAAAGGGAGCAGGGAAATGGTGTTATTCTCACAACGGGGTGYAACAAGGGGATATTGTGTTGTTCTCAATGAGAGATCCTTGGTTTGGAACTTTGAAAAATCTGGATGCTTCTGACAGATGTTAAAAAGAAAGCAGAGGTTTGGATTCTGCTTCCTGGTGGAGGTGCTAAGCCAACCTGAAAATTCTGGCATCATCCCTGAATGCCAAAGTTCACCACACCTAGTTAAATTCAGTTAAATGTAGCTTTTTACTGCAGAGTGCTCAAACATTGGAACAAATGTTTGTTTCTCAGGCAAATTGCGGAGTCTCCAACCTCGGATATGTCCAAAATCCAACTTGACATGGCACTCAGCAAAATCCTGACCCTGCTTGAGCAGGGTGCTGGAGCAGGAGATCCCAATCTCAATGATTCTGTGCTAAACTTCATCCTTGTTTGTGTGTCATCATGAGGACTCACAGTGACTCACAAATTCTTCCATTCTAAGAATTTGAGAGCCTTAACATTCATTTAAGAGGGAGCGAGATCAAGTTCCAAGATGTCAGGGTGGCAGAAAGCTCTTTATCTCRTAAAGCTCCTGGGCACCTTTTACTGGAATTAACTCTGGGCTTTTTCCCTTCAGATATTCTCCAGTCTTTGCAAAGGAAACTGCAGTAACAAATCAGATTCTGCAGTACCACATTTTAAGTCCTGAAGCAAAATTCAGCAGTTTTAGAGGGACAGCATAAAAGGGAATGGGGCGGGGGAAGTGGGGTGGGAAGTATTTATAATCCCTTTAATATTTTAAAATTTAATTATATCCAAATTGGGTTAGCGAGACTGACAAGAATACTGCATCTAAAGCATGGAGCCCAGAGGCAGCATTGGAAAATGAGAGGAGAAATTAATAATAAAAAACCCCTATTGCTTCAAGGCAGCAGACTGGAACACTGACATTCCATTACTCCGTCTGTCTGCTGAATTCATTTAGCATCTGTGGCCTAAATAGGCTAGTTTTAAAGAGGCATGCTCCAGTTTTCATGTTGGCAGGGGGTGGGGGTTGTCAGAGGATTTTTCTTCCTTGAAATCCATCTCGGGAAGCACATCAGGCTGTGGTTAATAGGGGACAGTCCCTCTGACCTCCCAGCAGTTGTAGTTAAATGATATCTGGGGGTGTTGTGGAAAGCCTGGCAGAGTTGGGGCTGCAGCATTGGGGGGCACGGCAGATCCATCTCCAAAGGGAAAATGAGAGCAGGGATGCTGTGAACGGAATTGAAGCTCGGGGTTTAACTCTGTAAAGACCCTCACTGCAGCCCAGCCATTTCCAGCAGCTCTGCATTAAAAGGTGGATCAAGGTATGAGAGGGAATCTCAAATTAACAGAGCAGACGGGCRAATGTTTCCATTTTCTGAAGCCCCAGCAGTGCCCAGCACCCCCTGCCACAGCCTGAACCCCACAGAACTCCTGGTTCTCCTTTTGGGGTGCTCCTTTCAACCCCCAACTCCATCCACCTTTGGCAAGAGCGGAGACACCCCCACAATTCAGTTATCATTATTTCATAGAGGCCAGGGAGAGCCCAGGAGGGGGAAAAGGGAACGATTCTCCAATTTATCCCCTAGAAACCTACAATGTTTCACTTTTGGGTATTTTCTGAAACATCTGGATACCAGGAGGATAAAAGGTACCAGTATAACCTCCCAGTAAGATCAATTGTTTAAAGCTTTCTGTATATTTCCAGTCATTTTGGCTTCCTTCCCAAGCTTACAGAAACAGGTCTGTGACTTTGCTTGGAGTAGAATATAATGTATTCTGTGTAGTTCTATTTCTTCTGTTTCCATTTTATGCAAATAAACTTTTATTCCCTCTCCCCCGATTTATCATCTTCAAGGTCTTTGTGTAAATTATGCAGAAAGGAAAACCATGGATTTTTATGAAAAGTCATATAGAAGCTGTTAAAATTGGCCTCTTCTCCTCCTCCTCATTGTTMTTTGCTCTCAGTGTGGATTTTATCAAAAGTTTTTATCGAGTTTAATGGAGATTACCCAACAGACAGAGACATGATAAAAAATTTTACGGATGCAGCCAACCATGAAACACAACCGTGCTTTTTGATTTCAAGCATGTAGGGTCTTATCCAGCAAGATTCTCTGAGCTACCTGCAAAATCCAAATTTTCTGAAGGGTTGGCTGGGGGCGAATGACTTATCCCAGGAAGGAAAGGGGGAAAGTGAGACCCTGTGCTTTCTTCACATCAGGTGCTGGGAGTAAGAGCTCATGAACTGCCCAGAATCTCTGCCAAGGAGATGCAGCYGATTTCTAAGAAAATTTAATAATATTCTGGACCTGAAGAGAATCTTGCCTATTGTCATCCAGCCATAACCAACACTGATAAAGGCACCCKTCACCAAAACAAATCCTCTCCTATAAATGTAATTTTAATTCTTTCACTGGCATTTTTTTCCATCACTGGATACCATCATGCTCTCCTTTGGTCACCTTCTGCTTGAATCCACTGAAATCAGAACTAAATTGGTTTAAGAATGTGTAAATACTGCATTAATGCTCCTTGATATAATTTACATCCTGGCTGATCCTAAAAACAGGTACTCTACAAACTTTCTTGCCTTGTCCTGAATTTGTTATTTTTGCTTCCAGGAGGGCCATCGTCTTTTTGGTTTTTGCATTTCGACAGAATTGAAAGTAAATACCTGGCTTGCATCTTCCCAAGCACATGTGCTGCAGGGAAGTCAAACCGCTGGAGAGCTGCTTTTAAAGAGCTGTGTTATTCCTTCCTCCTCCCATTAGGCAGCAGTCCAGCCAAATTTACCTTTGCTTTGACTTAAACATATTTCTTTTCTAGTCTTTTTCTACAGCAACAGTCTGGCCTTAGGCAAATCTCCTGGGARACTTGGTTAAAATGCACCTGTGCTACACAGGCAAACAGATATTGCGGAGTTGCTGTTGCTCTCTCTCGGCCAACACTGTAATATTTCACTGGGGCTCCTACGGGATTCATCTCCATCACAAAGGAAATGTCCTGTAGTGTTGAAAGAGGACTTAATTTCAGTTATCATTATTTCATAGAATGAGAGCTGTACAGTTATAAATCACCAGAGAATTTGCTGCAGTTTTCATTGAATTCTTTCTGCTTTAGGCTCACAACTATTTCTTCCAACTCACAGCCTTTTTGGCTAAGCTTCTTTCCTTGTTTAACTGCTCACTTCTGCCTTTATTTTTTTCCCTCTATGGAAATAAATAAGTCCCAGTTAGACCACTGCCCAAAGTTATGCTTGTTATCATCTCTTTCCCTTTGCTTATGCATCTTCATGGCAGTGTCTGCCTCGATGACAGAAAATTCTGTAGTCACCTCAAAACTGGTGGGAACAAACTTATTTTTAATGATCAGACACAGATTCTTATTAGAAATGTGTTTATTAATGGTCATAATAAATCACTGGTTGATCATRGTTTCACTGACTTGTATTTAACTCACATTTGACAGGTTCCATCTCCTTAAGAACTTTCCTTTGGGGAGCAGCTCAGTTCATTTTTMTGAAGAGAAGCAACGCCCTCCCCCAGGTTGTTTCTTGACTGAAGTAATTGCTGTGACTCCTCAGGYCCCAGACAACCAACAGATAATTAGTTCCAATTAAGTTCTCTCACAGGTGCTTAGAAATTGCCATTTGGAAGCAGCAGGTTCTCCTGGAAGGTGAACTGGATAGTGGGGAAGGGAGCACCAAAGATCAGAGCCAGAGGAGGATCAGTCCTGCTGTGCTGCTGCTTTTGGCTTTACCAGGGGTATGTACCAAGAATGTTTTTACTTTTAGATGTGAAGTTGATCAGTGTGGGTTCTTTTTGGGTTTCTTCTGCTCTTTAAAAAGGAGGAAAAAGGAATAAAAGGGTAGGCACGAAGTAACTTTAAAATGGCCACTGTGTGTGAGCTGTGCATGAGGGAACACACAACATCTGAGCTCTGCCACGGAGGCAGGAGCAGCCCTGAGGGGTTACTGYGCTCTCCCTGCACGGTTTGTGTGCCTTGGGTCAGTGGAGCTGGAGTTTCACAAGGACTCCTGAGCAACTCACAGGGTTTGACCTGTTCTTACTGGTGCAACTGTTCCTGGTTGCTTCTTACTGGTGCAGCTTTGGGGCTGTTAAAGCTGCTTCTTTATCCASAGAAGGATCATGTCTTTAGCTGTCTGGAGCCTGTTGCTTTATGTGGGAGGCARGAGGGAGTCAGAGAACTTAGATTAAAAGACAAAAAGCATCTATGAACCTGGCATGTGACTAAAAGCATAAAAAGAGCTGCAGATTTTAATTTAGTTGCTGTCTCAGTCATCATTATTTCTGTTGTCTGCCCTTAGTGGAGGTGTGTGTTGTGCTATTGGTTWATTGTGCACTGGCGCTTCTATTTTATTTTTATTTTTAACCAAAATGCAGTTGCAGGGTGCAATGRATGCTGCTCTGTGCCTGCACTTGGCTCTTGGAGGGCCTGTTGCTCTGAATTCCAGTTTGAGACAGTACTCTGAGCCAAAATCGTAGTTTTTATTGTAGGTTGAAGAAAGCAAGTGTATGTAAAACACCTGTAATGTTCATCTSGTCCCCAAGCAGTGTTCACCTGGTTTGCACCAAGCCTGGCTGGTTTCTCCTCACCCTCCTCACTCCTCACAGCTGGGGAAAATCTCTCCTCCTTTGGCACTAATTAATGACTGAGGGAGCTGCTCCAGTTATGGAGGAAAGAGGAGGAAATGCCCTTGCTGAGGCTCTTTAGGTTGGTCATCTCTGAACCTACAAGGCCCCTTTGAGCTCTCCAGGGCTGCTACAGCACAGATATTTTCTGGGCTGTGTTGTTGAGTGGATACCTGGAAAGATCAGGAAGCCTCTTGGCTCTGTATTTCAYGGATTCAAGTATTCTTCTGTCTTTTTGTCACCCAAACCATCCATCAAACTTTCCATAGTAGCAGTGAAAGGCTCATCATGAATATACATGTCTCAATTTACTGACTTCCTTAAAATTTAAGTGTGCTTGAAACTGTTCCTTCCTTTGGCATGACAAACTTTGCTCAGGCAAGGAGAGGCATATTTTGAATAGTGTGCAATGCTTTGTTCCAGCTTATATTTTTTACATGCTACATCCTGGGGAAAAGAATTGTTTCAATAACAGAGAATATTTACTAGTTTCTGTCTTCCCTCTATAAATCTAGAAACTTGATTACTGAGAGTTAAAGTATGTGGGCTTCAGTGGTAGAAGGGGGAAAAGTGCATCACAATCTATTATTAGCCCAAAAGAAAACCACTAGTTTTCCTTTTTTATTTATATTATTTTAGCCCAGGAATTTCTCTTTGTAGTGATATAACTCAGCCACTTCTCATCCTGACCGTGTGTAGATCTTTGGGCCTTAAACCTACCCCTTCYCTCAGCCTGCAGGATTCTGAGCTTTATTCACAAAATGGCACTGGCCTGAATACAAAGTGCCACACTTTATGTGGGAGGAAGAAGACAGGGAAAATGTTGTGGCAGGTGGCTTAAAATAAATAAGACTCAAACAAGCTCTGTTTGAAAGTGCTCAGAGCTCAGGAATGCTTGAAGCAGGCCCTGCAAACCTGCTTGGGAGAGCACTCAGGGGAAAGTCAGTTGCAATTATCGTATGGTTTTGCAATTTTTTGTGTGGATGTTATTACAACCAACACTGTGTGCATTTACATCCTAGGAGATACATAAACTAACCTCCAAATACCACCCCAAACCCCTAATTATAAACCCAGATAGARGGTATGTACCGTAGACCTGTACGTTAAATATAATGCACCTGAGACCAGGACTTGGCTTTCAAGCTATAGTTTTACTGAAGTTTTTCACTGCCTGGATTATAATTTTAGTAATGTGAATAAGAGACTGTGCAGATGCTAACCAGATGCTAATATCCAACTGTAGTTCCACATGTTTCCATGTAATAACTAAGTGTTACTATGGTGATAACAGATTCACTGGAGGTTTGATTTAATAAAGCAGGATTGCATGTTAGTGTCTGTGCAGTTGCCATAGTTTTAGCCAAACAATCGTGCTGCTTCAGACTGAATTGATGGTGTTRCCACTGAGCTGAGTTTCCCTTGTAAATCTGTTTTTCAGGAACAAATTTGCTATGTAAGCAGGTTATGGTATATTGCTTTAATTGACCCCTCTTCCTCCAATGGCAAAAAAAGGGACGGTTTTGAATATGAGCACAAAAGCCATTTTGCGTAGAGGTGGGGGTTCTGGTTTTTTCCCTCTTTTTTTTTAAATGTTGCATTTGAGTTCAGATTTAAAGATCTTGAAGTCAACTGCCCAAAGCTTGCCAAGGGAGCCTCAGAAGTTAGAATAAGCAAAGAATCTAAGCTGGCTTTCGTGTGAGAACACCTGTGTTTGCAAGTGACAGTAAAGGATGTTCATTTTTATTGCCACCCATCCCAGAAACCRAGCAATAGGGGCTTGAGTGTTATTATTTTAAGCTCATAAAGTGCAGTCCAAAAGGTCCTGATGGCCAAGTTCTGCAGTTCCCAGCTCAGCAGGGCTGTGTTGTTGGTTTAAGCACGCTCCACAACTGTGAGCACTTTTGTCCTCGTCCTTTGGTTCTGCCTTTCCTGGCTGTGCATCCTGCTTGATCATTCCCAGATCCACAGGGCAGCTCCCTGCACCRTGAGAAGAGAAGGCAATGGAGTTTCCACTCCCAGGAAAGCTGGGTCCAAATGAGTCCATTTTTCCCTGACCCCAGACCAAGGATTACTCCTTCTCCAACCGGTGGAAAGCTCTGTGGCTGTTTCTGGTGCAGGATCTTCTTAACCCTCTGTAGCTTCGCTTCCTTGCACTCCACAACTCCTTGAAAGAGTCAGATTCTGCTCTCAGTGAGCAAAGGACAAGGGGAAATGGCCTCAAGCTGTGCCAGGGGAGGTTCAGGTTGGACATCAGGGGAAATTCCTTCATGGAAAGGATGGTCAGGCATTGGCAGGAGCTGCCCAGTGAGGTTTGGAGTGCCCATCCCTGAAGTTGTCCAAGGAAGGCCCGAATGTGGCACTGTGGGCTGGGGACAAGGTGGGGATGGGTCACAGCTTGGACTCGGTGGTCCTGGAGGTATTTTCCACSCTCAGTGATTCCATGATTCCATCAATGTGCTGCACGACCTGGAGAGCAGCGTGTYGGTCAGAGCTGGGAACTCATCTGCTTTCCACGAGACCATGAGGAGCTCTTGGCTTCTGTTACATCTTAATAATAGAAATAATAATAACAATAATTAATAACTCTAATGATAGTGATAACCTTCCAGCTGAACATGTGCAATTTGTATTGCCTCAGCATTATTCCCAGGCAGAGCTTCATTGATATTCAGCRCATCGGCGTGTCTGTCACTGCTCCGTGCACTTTGGGTCTGGAATCCTTAGGGAGCCTCGCAGCTGTCAAATTGACTTCCATCATTTCTCTCGGAGCTGAGAGACAAATTATCCAGCCAGCCATCAGCCTAGGCTTTGCAATCGAACTTGCAATCTCTAAGTGATAAAATGCTGCCTCCCAGGTCAGACAAAAAGTCCGGCTGTGAGCGGGGTTGAGCTGGCTGGGAGCATTGATGCTGTTTGTTGGTGTCTTTTTTTTTTTTTTTTTTTTTTTTTTTTTTTTGGTTTTTTTTTTTTTTTTTTTTTTTTTTTTTTTTTTTTTTTTTTTTTTTTTTTTTGAGAAGCATTCATGGTCTAATGATCCGGCAGGCGCCTGGGTGAGTCACTGACATATGTCGGCTCCGAGTCCCACTGGGACAGACGCTGCTCCTGGGCGCTGCTGACACAAAACTAGAAGGACACGCGTGTTCACAGCTTAGCCTGACCGTGGGATGGCAAAATTTACCCCGTCAAAGCGACTGGGGCGGTGGATGAATTGGAAAAGCTTTCCCAGTGTTTTACTCGATGTAACTGTGAAGAGRTTTGGGGGATGTTTGTTCTGCATCTTCAGAATAGCACTTAGTTCCATCCCCATTTCTGTGCTCGAGTCGTGACTCGAGGGTTTAGCTCAGGGTTTTTGTGCTGCCCTGGACACACCGACCCGCTCGGTTCACAGCGGGCAGGGGCTCAGTGCGGGGCCCGAGGGGAATAAATGAGGCAAAACCCGAGATTTGGACCCGACGGCTGTAAAAATCCACCGGAGGATTCACCCCAGCACAGCTGCGGACCGTGTGGATGGAGGGATAGAGAGCTCCAGCCTGAGGGAGGGAGCGCTCCTGAGGGCGGCTCCTCCCGGACGGCCCCGCGGGAGGCGGCAGCTGCTGTTCGGTGCCAGTCCCGGGGGCTCCCGGGCTGTTGCCGTCCCTCAGACCGCTCCTGGGCCGTTCCCCCGGGGCTCCCGGGTTGTTGCCGTGCCTCAGACCGCTGCCGTCCCTCAGATCGCTCCTAGGCCGTTCCCCGGCCGTTCCCCCGGGGCTCCCGGGCTTTTGCCGTCCCTGAGATCGCTCCTAGGCCCTTCCCCCGGGCTGTTGCCGTCCCTGAGATCGCTCCTAGGCCGTTCCCCGGCGCTCCCGGGTTGTTGCCGTCCCTCAGATCGTTGCGGTCCCTCAGACCGTTCCTGCCCCGACGGCGGCGGGCTGGACGGGGCGGGCAGCGGCCGCCAGGGGGAGCCAGCGCGGGCGGGCCCCTCAGCTCAGCGGGACGGGAATGGCCGGCGGGACGGGGAATGATCCCGGCACTGAGGGGCACGGCATTCCCGGCGGGACGGGGAATGATCCCGGCACTGAGGGGCACGGCATTCCCGGCGGGACGGGGAGCGAACCCGGCACTGTGGGGCA